GTCTAACTACACTAACTAGTAGTGTAACTAATAACTAGTAGTCTAACTAGTAGTGTAACTAATAACTAGTAGTCTAACTGACAGTCTAACTACACTAACTAGTAGTGTAACTAATAACTAGTAGTCTAACGAGTAGTGTAACTAATAACTAGTCGTGTAACTAATAACTAGTAGTCTAACTAGTAGTGTAACTAATAACTAGTAGTCTAACTAGTAGTGTAACTAATAACTAGTCGTGTAACTAATAACTAGTAGTGTAACTAATGTAATAACCAGTGTACTAATGTACTAACAAGTAGTGTAACTAACTAATGTACTAACTGGCAGTGTAACTAACTAGTAGTGTAACTAATTAATGTACTAACTAACTAATGTAACTAACTAGTAGTGTAACTAACTAATGTACTAACTAGCTGTGTAACTAACTAGTAGTGTAACTAACTAGCAGTGTAACTAACTAATGTACTAACTAGTAGTGTAACTAACTAATGTACTAACTAGCAGTGTAACTAACTAGTAGTGTAACTAATTAATGTACTAACTAACTAATGTAACTAACTAGTAGTGTAACTAACTAATGTACTAACTAGCTGTGTAACTAACTAGTAGTGTAACTAACTAGTAGTGTAACTAACTAATGTACTAACTAACTAATGTAACTAACTAGTAGTGTAACTAACTAATGTACTAACTAGCTGTGTAACTAACTAGCAGTGTAACTACCTAGTAGTGTAAATAACTAATGTAATAACCAGTGTACTAATGTACTAGCTCGCAGTGTAACTAACTAATGTACTAACTAGCAATGTAACTAACTAGTAGTGTAACTAACTAATGTACTAAATAGTGTACTAACTAGCAGTGTAACTAACTAGTAGTGTAACTAACTAATGTACTAAATAGTGTACTAACTAGCAGTGTAACTAACTAGTAGTGTAACTAACTAATGTACTAACTAGTAGTGTAACTAACTAGCAGTGTAACTAACTAGTAGTGTAACTAACTAATGTACTATATGGTGTACTAATGTACTAACTAGTAGTAATGTGTACTAACTAGTAGTAATGTGTACTAACTAGTAGTAATGTGTACTAACTAGCAGTGTAACTAACTAATGTACTATATGGTGTACTAACTAGTAGTAATGTGTACTAACTAGTAGTAATGTGTACTAACTAGTAGTAATGTGTACTAACTAGCAGTGTAACTAACTAATGTACTATATGGTGCACTAACTAGTAGTGTAACTAACTAGCAGTGTAACTAACTAATGTACTATATGGTGTACTAACTAGTAGTAATGTGTACTAACTAGTAGTAATGTGTACTAACTAGCAGTGTAACTAACTAATGTACTATATGGTGTACTAACTAGTAGTGTAACTAACTAGCAGTGTAACTAACTAATGTACTATATGGTGTACTAACTAGTAGTAATGTGTACTAACTAGTAGTAATGTGTACTAACTAGCAGTGTAACTAACTAGCAGTGTAACTAACTAGTAGTAATGTGTACTAACTAGCAGTGTAACTATCATCACGCGAGTGACGTTGCCGCTGAACGTCGGCTGGACGTTACTCGAACGTCTGAGCGAGACCTCGGCCGCCAGCGAGTCTACGGGACGGGGGCGGGGCGTGCGTTGAAGGGGGCGTGGCCCAGAGTCTCCCATTGGTCGACGTGGCGGAGGGCGGTGCCTGTGGGGGCGGACGCGGCGGGGGTCAGAGAATACCATTGGTCCGGTTGGCGGAAGGCGGGGCCTGAGGGGACGGACGCGGCGGGGTCAGAGCCTGCCATTGGGCAACTTGTCGGAGGGCGGGGCTTATGCGAAGGGAGGGGTTGTTGATTACCAAGGGTAAAGAGGCGGGGCTTAGAGGTCGAGTGGGCATGGCCTCGACGTTCATTGGCTATGGTGGGAGAGTGGGCGGGGGCTTAGTATGGAATGGGCGGGCCGAGGTCTCCCTTTGGTCAAAGTTGGCGGAGGGCGGGGCTTACATCGAAGGCGGCGGGGGCGTGTACTGACAGAGGGCGGGGCTAAATCTTCCAGTGGTTAAAAAGCGAGAGGGCGGGGCCAAAATGTAGAGTGGGCGGAGTTTACTATGGTGTGAGGCGTGGCCTCATCGCTCATTGGCTAACTTTAGGGGGAGTGGGCACAGGCTTGACAGCTGCGTGGGCGGGGCGAAGCTGGCAAACCTCACTCGCAATTAGCATAGCATATTAACATAATTGACGATATCGGAATCTCATTGTAATATTTTATGTTAATGAGCTCTCCAGTTTTCCACTCCACACCGCCTGTGCCAGGCTAGGTGCATGAGGAGGAGGTCACGTGACAGACACTGCAGGTGCCACGGGTTGTACTGCTGGTGCCAGGCTAGGTGCATGGGGAGGAGGTCACGTGACAGACCCTGCAGGTGCCATGGGTTGTACTGCTGTGCCAGGCTAGGTGCATGAGCAGGAGGAGGTCACGTGACAGACCCTGCAGGTGCCATGGGTTGTGCTGCTGCTGTGCCAGGCTAGGTGTCTGTGTGGGGGTCTGTGGGTCTCTGTGGGTCTCTATAGGTCTCTATGGGTTTCTGTGGGTCTCTGTGGGTCTCTATGGGTTTCTGTGGGTCTCTGTGGGTCTCTATGGGTCTCTGTGGGTCTCTGTGGGTCTCTATGGAGTCTCTATGGGTCTCTGTGGGTCTCTGAGGGTCTATGTGGGTCTCTGTGGGTCTCTATGGGTCTCTGTGAGTCTCTGTGGGTCTCTATGGGTCTCTGTGAGTCTCTATGGGTCTCTGTGCGTCTCTGTGGGTCTCTATGGGTCTCTGTGAGTCTCTATGGGTCTCTGTGAGTCTCTATGGGTCTCTGTGAGTCTCTGTGGGTCTCTGAGGGTCTCTGTGGGTCTCTATGGAGTCTCTATGGGTCTCTGTGGGTCTCTGAGGGTCTATGTGGGTCTCTGTGGGTCTCTATGGGTCTCTGTGAGTCTCTGTGGGTCTCTATGGGTCTCTGTGAGTCTCTATGGGTCTCTATGGGTCTCTGTGGGTCTCTGTGGGTCTCTATGGGTCTCTGTGAGTCTCTATGGGTCTCTATGGGTCTCTGTGGGTCTCTGAGGGTCTCTGTGGGTCTCTATGGAGTCTCTATGGGTCTCTGTGGGTCTCTGAGGGTCTCTGTGGGTCTCTGTGGGTCTCTATGGGTCTCTGTGAGTCTCTGTGGGTCTCTATGGGTCTCTGTGAGTCTCTATGGGTCTCTATGGGTCTCTGTGGGTCTCTGTGGGTCTCTGAGGGTCTCTGTGGGTCTCTATGGGTCTCTGTGGGTCTCTATGGGTCTCTGTGGGTCTCTATGGGTCTCTGTGGGTCTCTGTGGGTCTCTGAGGGTCTCTGTGGGTCTCTATGGGTCTCTGTGGGTCTCTATGGGTATCTGTGGGTCTCTATGGGTCTCTGTGGGTCTGTATGGGTCTCTGTGGGTCTCTGTGTGTCTCTGTGGGTCTTTGTGGGTCTCTATGGGTCTCTGTGGGTCTCTATGGGTCTCTGTGGGTCTCTATGGGTCTCTGTGGGTCTGTATGGGTCTCTGTGGGTCTCTGTGTGTCTCTGTGGGTCTCTGTGGGTCTCTATGGGTCTCTGTGGGTCTCTATGGGTCTCTGTGGGTCTCTGTGGGTCTCTGTGGGTCTCTATGGGTCTCTGTGGGTCTCTATGGGTTTATATGGGTCTCTGTGTGTCTATATATGTCTCTATGGGTCTCTGAGGGTCTCTGTGGGTCTCTGTGGTCTCTGTGTGTCTCTGTGAGTCTCTGTGGGTCTCTATGGGTCTCTGTGGGTCTCTATGGGTCCCTGTGGGTCTCTATGGGTCCCTGTGGGTCTCTATGGGTCTCTATGGGTTTCTATGGGTTTCTGTGGGTCTCTGTGGGTCTCTGAGGGTCTCTGTGGGTCTCTATGGGTCTCTGTGGGTCTCTATGGGTCTCTGTGTGTCTCTATGGGTCTCTGTGGGTCTCTATGGGTCCCTGTGGGTCTCTGTGGGTCTCTGTGGGTCTCTATGGGTCTCTGTGGGTATCTATGGGTCTCTATGGGTTTCTATGGGTTTCTGTGGGTCTCTGTGGGTCTCTGAGGGTCTCTGTGGGTCTCTATGGGTCTCTGTGGGTCTCTATGGGTCTCTGTGTGTCTCTATGGGTCTCTGTGGGTCTCTGTGGGTCTCTATGGGTCTCTGTGAGTCTCTATGGGTCTCTATGGGTCTCTGTGGGTCTCTGAGGGTCTCTGTGGGTCTCTATGGAGTCTCTATGGGTCTCTGTGGGTCTCTGAGGGTCTCTGTGGGTCTCTGTGGGTCTCTATGGGTCTCTGTGAGTCTCTATGGGTCTCTATGGGTCTCTGTGGGTCTCTGTGGGTCTCTGAGGGTCTCTGTGGGTCTCTATGGGTCTCTGTGGGTCTCTATGGGTCTCTGTGGGTCTCTGTGGGTCTCTGAGGGTCTCTGTGGGTCTCTATGGGTCTCTGTGGGTCTCTATGGGTATCTGTGGGTCTCTATGGGTCTCTGTGGGTCTGTATGGGTCTCTGTGGGTCTCTGTGTGTCTCTGTGGGTCTTTGTGGGTCTCTATGGGTCTCTGTGGGTCTCTATGGGTCTCTGTGGGTCTCTATGGGTCTCTGTGGGTCTGTATGGGTCTCTGTGGGTCTCTGTGTGTCTCTGTGGGTCTCTGTGGGTCTCTATGGGTCTCTGTGGGTCTCTATGGGTCTCTGTGGGTCTCTGTGGGTCTCTGTGGGTCTCTATGGGTCTCTGTGGGTCTCTATGGGTTTATATGGGTCTCTGTGTGTCTATATATGTCTCTATGGGTCTCTGAGGGTCTCTGTGGGTCTCTGTGGTCTCTGTGTGTCTCTGTGAGTCTCTGTGGGTCTCTATGGGTCTCTGTGGGTCTCTATGGGTCCCTGTGGGTCTCTATGGGTCCCTGTGGGTCTCTATGGGTCTCTATGGGTTTCTATGGGTTTCTGTGGGTCTCTGTGGGTCTCTGAGGGTCTCTGTGGGTCTCTATGGGTCTCTGT